TAGGAAAATATAATTTATTGGCAATACTAGTATTTCATTTCTGAATGAAGTTTTTTAAAGGGGTCATATGATGTTGCTAAAAATAACATTATTTTGTGTATTTGGTGTAATGAAATGTGTTTATGCGGTTTAAGGTTCAAACATACTGTACATTATTGTTTCTCCTCTATGCCCCGCCCTTTTGAAACGTGTCGATTTTTACAAAGCTCATCGTTCTGAAAAAGCGAGGGGTGCTGTGATTGGCCGGCTATCCAGTGCGTTGTGATTGGCCGAATTCCTCAAGCGTGTGACGGAAATGTTACGTCCCTCAACCACATGTGACGACCCCAGGCTGGACTTCGTTTCGTCCACGGTGAAAGCCGATCCGGCGATGCACAGCGCGATGTTGATGTATTTCCTCAGTTACCAGCACGGATCAGCTCCAGGCATGACGAAGCAGATATTGTCCTCTTTTGGAAGACCAAACAAAGTAGTTTCGGTTTCACAACGAATCACACAGTGCCTTCACGACATGGCGGCGCCATGTTATGCCTTCTTTCTTTGCGTGAACATTTGGGCGGCGTTATGCAAATCTTCCCACATAGTGATGTAGATATGTGGGGGCGTGTTAGAACGAGACGTTTTAGGTAGGCGTGGCTGACTCTTAACTTTTATAAAGAATATCTCTTTGGATTTGAGACTTTAGTCTTTGCAACTTTACAGATCTTCTTTATGCACCAAGAGCTTGTAACACTCCAAAGAGAAAGGAAAAATTGAAATCGCATCATATGACCCATTTAAGTCTTACAAGCTGTAAACTGAGCGTGCTTGATTCATTAAAAGAACTGACTCTTTAGAATCATATGTTTGGGAATTGGACTACACTATAAAAACATCGGACTCATTAAAATAATTAGTTTGAGAATCTTACTACACTAGTTGTGCAGTATGCATTTAATTTATTAAAAAAGATTTGACTCATTAGAATAATTTGTTCTGGAATCTTACTACACTAGTTGTGCAATGTGTGTTTGACTTATTAAAAAGATTTGACTCATTAGAATCATTTGTTCGGGAATCTTTCTACACTAGTTGTGCAGTGTGTGTTTGATATATTGAAAAAATTGTTTGGGAATTTTACTACACTAGTTGTGCAGTGTGTGTTTGATTCATTGTGATCGGACTCATTAG